AGCATGAAAGTGAAGAAATCAGAGACACCTGAACATAAGTTTGAACCCCCATCCTGAATGGAAACAGGAATAAAACACACTGATCACACGCTATAGTAAATGAAGTCAGGTAATGATCAAGGTTTATGATTGGCCAAAAATAAATTACATAAATATAAAACAAAGCCTCCAGAATTTTCTGAGCAACAGAAAAACATTGACTGTCATGCAAAGATCACTATAAGCAAAAAAATCTGCTTGATGTTTTTATATAATTATAAACAAAACAGATCTGTAATCAACAAGAGGAGAAATGAGTGAGTCTCATTTTAGAGTGGGTTTTAGCCTCAGCTCTGTGTGTAATTACTTTAGTATGTTTCATAGTTTATTTTTTTGTTTTCCATTTTGAGTGAAACTAGAGGAGGAAAGTCTGGTCAAAAGCCAGCGCCCTCAAGTGACCGCTTGTTCTAATTAGACGATGAAGACACAGTTTCCAGAGCCAAGAACATTCATTTTCTACCACTTAATCCCTGAACGGGGTCACGGGGGGGGGGAGAGCCGATCCCGGCCGGCAATCTTTAGAGACACCAATAAACCTAAGCTGCATGTCTTTGGACTGTGGGAGGAAGCTGGAGAAAACCCACGCAAGCACAGGGAGAACATGCAAACTCCACACAGAAAGGTCCCAAAGGACTTGTTTATGCGTCATCCATGAGCTATGTGTGCAGCGAATGCCAAAGCAGAGATTATTTGTTTACCTCTCATACAATGACGTCTCCTGGCAATGGTTGCAAATTTACAATGTGCTGTTGACCTACTTTACTCCTCTCACCTTTAACCTTTGGGCTTGTGTTGAGCTTGACATGGATAATGTTTTAGATTATAACCTACAAATTGCAGTGTAATTAACATGATGACATGCATGTTATCAACAAAATACTTACTAATATTTACTGTACTGGGACAAACATTTAAATACCAGGGAGGAAGACAAGAGGCTGAGGAATAAGGAGGTAACAACTTTGTGTTTAAATGAAACTTATGTTACCTATTTATATTACACTGGGACTCATTTTAAATTACTCAGTACCTCTTTAATTATTACAAAGTATTGTATTGTAGTGAAATACAGAGTACCTGGCTGCAGGCAAGATAGTGGACTGCAACAGAGATTAGCCTGGAAGTTGTTTTTCTGGAACCATGTTACATTAAGGGTCCACGTTAACACTAACCCCTAGTACCTAACTAACAATCTTAGCCATAACCATAACTGAACCTGCCAAAGTGAACCAGTTCTGGCTAGTACTGCCCATTTAGTGCTGAGGTCAGCAGTCCACCATCTTGTCTTCAACCATGTTCTGTTGTTGAAATTATGATCTTATAACCAACATTCTTGATTTTGATCCCTTCACCTAGACACAAAGGCCCGTACAAACCAGTGTCATTTTGCCAATTAGGAGCAGACAGAAGGTCTGGGGATGAAGAGAGACAGCAGCAGCTTCTGGAGTCAGCATGAAAGCTGCTCATTTGCTAACAACCTGCTGGGTTAATTCAACCCCTCTATGAGTGTGTATGTTTTCACAGT